TTATTGCATTTTCCCTTTTATTGGTTTGACTATTTTTTGGTGTTAAGGTTTTTGAGTTCATGTATTCCCAATATTAATTCTCTGTCAGAACAGTAGCTAGTAAAGACTTTTGGCCATTTTATAGGTTCTTTCTTCACATTCCTAATTTTTTTCTTGCTGTGTAGATGCTTTGATTTGATTCCATCCCATTTATTAACACTTGATATTACTTCTTGAGCTTTGAGTTCCTATTGAGAAAGTTGTTGCTTATCCCTATAAGTTGTAGTGTTGACCCTATATTTTCTTTTGGAGTTACATAGATTCTGGTCTGAGTCCTAGATTTTTGTTCCATTGTGAGTTAATTTTGTGCAGGGTGAGAGGTAAGAGTGTAAAAACTCATTCTTCTAGATATAGATAACCAGTTTTACCAGCAGTACTTATTAAAAAGGCTTTCTTTTCTGTAATATAGGTTGTTGGCCACTTTGTCAATGATCAGATAACTGTATCTGTATGAATTTCTGTGTGTCTTCTCTTCTATATTATTTTGCTGTGTCTATGTTCATGACATTACCATGCAGTTTTTGTTATTATAGCTCTCTTATAATTTAAAGTCAGGTGTTTTGATGCCTCTGGCATTGCTATTTTTGTGTAGAATTGCTTTGGCTATTCATGGTCTTTTATTCTTCCAGAAGGTTTTAAAAATATTTTTTAAATTGTAGATTGGCACAATACATTTATTTATTTATTTTTTTGTGATGCCAAGGATCGTAACCAGTGCCTCACACATGTCAGACGAATGCACTACAACTGAGCCCTAACACCAGCCCCTTCCACATGAATTTTATGTGTTTTCTATGACCGCCTTTTCTAGATCTGTAAAGGATATAATTAGTATTTTGAAAGGGATTTCATTCGATCTGTATATGGCTTGTGGTAATATGGCCATTTTAACAAGATTTTTTCTGCCTGTCCTTAAACATGAAAGTTCTCTCCATCTTCTTGTGTTTTGTTCATTTTATTTCTTTAATGTTCTATAGTTTTCATCATGTAGGTCTTTGACCCCCTTGGTTAGGATTTTTCCTAGGCATTTTATTAATGTTTTGGGGGTATGGTGAATGGGATTGTTTTCCTGATTTTTTCTCAGCAGAATTCATTGTTATAGGAAAGCTATTGATTTTTTCTATATTGATTCTGTAACCTGCTACTTTGGTGAATTTATTTATTAGCTCTTGTAGTGTTTTAGTGTAGTTTGGATCCTCTAATTATAGGAACATGTCATCTGCAAACATTGATGATTTCACTTCATCTTATGATTCTTGTTTTCCCCATTCACTTGCATAATTGCTCTGACCAGAATTTCTGGAACTATATTAAATAGGAGTGGTGAGTGAATATCCTTGACTTAACCCATATTTTGATTTTTAAGTAAATGCTTTCCATTTTCCCTGTTTACTATGAGTAAGGTGTTGAGTTTTTTTTTTTTTTTTTGTATCAACCCTTTCTGATGTTCAGGTAGGTTCCTTCTCTTCCTCATATCTTCAGTGTTTTTATCATGAATGGGTGGTAATTTTTTTCAAAAGCTTTATTTGCATCTGTTGAGCTGAATAAGTGATTTTATGCTTAATCTATTTAAATGTCCTTATCTGGTTCTAGTATGATTGAAATGTAGGCTTGATAGAATAAATTTGAAAGTGTTACATAACTTTTCATTTCATGGAATGATTTGAGGATTATTATTTTTTCTTTAAAGAACTGAAAACATTCATCTGAGAATCCATCTGGTCCTGAGCTGCTGCAGAATTCTATGTGGAGAATTCTGGTTGCTTGAGTCTGGGTCTAATCAGGCATTAGAGGTTTTGTTGGTATCGGCTCTGGACATATAGGTAAACACACCACTAGGGCCCCAGATAGATGTTTATCTCTGCTAGGAATCTGGATAAGGAATCTCCTAGGAATTCTATTCATGGGGCAAGGAAGCCAAACCACCACACACTCTGTTGACCATGAAGACTATTTCCCAGGCTGAGAACCTGAGTGTTTAGAACACCCACCTGTTCAGATTCTCAACATTTTTGAACTGTTCACATAAGCCACCAGACTCAAGAGAAAATCTCCTCTTCATTTTTATGACTTGGTTCCTCCTGAGTAAAACCTGAATTGTGGTCATTTTAATCATAGTCTTCTAGGTATACCCTAGGCCACAAGGTCAGGGCTTGCCAGGGTACTATGGCAATGTTCACTATGATCTCCCAGGATTCCACAGCAGCAAGTTGCAGCATGGCTGCTTCAAAATGGATGCCACCTCAGCTCTCCATTTGCCAGCTGAGAAATACAGAGCACTTTTCAAGGGCCAGTTTATGATATAGCCTCTGTGTCTGTTAAGTTTGGGCTTCTTTGATGATCTCAGGTTTTTTCATACCAAATCTGTTCATGGTGTTCCTCTTTCTATGTTGTCCCTCCCTCTTGTAAATCACTGCCAATGCTACAACCAGCATAATGCCGCGGTCTGGCTGGGCACAATTCAGGAGCCACTTGTCAAAAGAAACTAACTTTATTTTTACAACTACAAACGCCAAACAAAACAGCTCCAGGCAAAAACCCTCAGAGCCCAACTGCCACCACCGGCTTCCACAAGCCTCTCACCCACACCAACCTCCCCACCTCCCACAATCCTCCTGCTCTTGAGGCTGATTGGCTGGGTCGCGTGGGCGGAGCCAAAGAAGTCCCCCAATGAGCAGCTCCGTGGTCTGAAAGGGCAGGGAAACAGCCCAATGAGCAGCTCCATGGAGGAGCCAATCAGCTAGATGTTGCTGGGGCCGCTGTGAGCCAATCATCAGCCGGCAGCTGGAAGTTTGCTGGCAGCTGGAAGTTTGCTGGGGCCCCTTTGGCTGTGGCTCTCAACATTTCCCCCTCTCTGTTTAAACAACAAGCATGTGGCTTAGGGACCGTGCCTGCTTTAGGTTGTCCAATACTACATATGGTCCTTACCCGTCTTCCGATGAGCTGACCTCAGGGCGTCAGCCTCCTGTCTTAGGTTGGTACCATTGTAATTGGATCTTACCCGTCATTGACTACTGGTCCAGTATACAGCCACACCTGTGGAGAGGTCTTTGTACCAGCGGCGGGGGTAGGGTGAGGTTCTTTGCCTCACCTCTGTTGGCCCCCAAATTTTAGCTGAATGATCATGACAAGCAGAGGGAGGAAGATACACCAAGCCAATTGATGGCTCTTGTTGGAAAAATTGTACCACCGATGATATCATCAGCAAAAATACCCCAACACTACCACAAGTCGCTGCACCAACAGATAGTTCACAATGCATACAAGTGAGTTCACAATGCATACAAGTGACACATAGTTTAGGCATGTTCTGTAAGTGGTTCAGTGATGGCTATTGCAGAAACTGTAGATTAGTTTTATCTTTGTCTTCACTGGCACAGGGATGAAGATAGGAATTTTGGCAATAATGGCTAAAGAAAAAATTATGTAACATTCCAGAAGGCACTAAAGGAAAACAATTTTCTTAACAATTTACATTGTCTTTACCGGCACTGGGATGAAGATAGGAATTCTGGCAATAATGGCTAAAGAAAAAATTATGTAACATTCCAGAACATTATGTAACATTATGTAACTTTCTTCTTTGTTCAGTGCACCTGAACCTGTTACTTGATTTGTTTCAACTATCCATTGTCTTTTACATATCATTGAGTTTCCTTAGGATAATTATTTTGAATTCATTTTCAGGCTTTACATAAATTTTCACTTACTTTGGGGTCAGTTACTGGAGAATTATTGTGTTGTTTAGGTAGTTCTATCTTTACTTTTTTATGTTGCTTGTGTCCATATGTTGAAATTTGCACATCTGATAGAATAGATGCCTCTTCCAGTTTTATGGAACAGCTTTTTGTGGGAAAGAATTTCACCTGAAGATGAATCCTATAGTGTCATTTAGGCAGGGTGTGTTGGCTTTGGTGCAGAGTATTGTATGGGCCTGGGTACCAGGGTTGTAGCTGCTCCCCAGAGCTAAAGCTCCATTTCTCCTGGAGTGAAATATTGGTTCACATACTGGGAGTAGGGAATTTGTATCACTGGCTTAGGTTCTTTTTGTTGTTGTTAGGTGGTGTTCCTATTCCTGGCTTGAGTGCCACATGGGCTCAGCACCAAGGTTGTGAATGCTTCTCTGAGCCATAGTACCAATTTACCATGGTGAAGTTCACTACGTTGGTTCATATTTGGAAGGACTGTGGCTGCTTAATTGAACTAGGCTCTGTGGTGAAGCAAACCATTAACTGGGATGGTAGAGATAGAGTAGTATCCAGGGCACATGAAGCTAGAAGGCATATAAACTTTAACTAGGAATGGTATTATTACCATGTATGCAGACATGGTGCAATGACAGCAGAGCCTCAGAGATGAAATGATATAAAGTCTACTTATTCCTACAGCAGGACACAGTGCAGCAGTAGCTCCAGTTTCAATATGACATAGCGTAGTAGCAGCTTGGGACAAGGGGTATGGCAGAGAACATGTGTTTTCTGTCTTCAGTAGAACAAATATATGAACTCCAGGCAATTCTCCAAATGGTTCTCAGGGCCTGTGAATATTATATGGTTATCCATTAGCAAAAGCTACAGCTTTATTTTTGCCATTGTGATGGTGCTTTGGGACTCCTGATTACCTTTTCTACAGTTAGAAATTCTTCCTGGTTCTTAAATGATCCTTACTTGGAAGAAGCATTGTTGGAGTCAAGCCATTGCCTTTCATTCTCTGCTTCACAGGGTTTTTACGCACCCTTATTGTGCTCTAATGATCTCCTTTATTGTGACAAAACTATTGTTTATTTGCTATTTACATCCTTCTTGTAGGAGATAATGATCATTGGGAACCTCTAGTTTGACATCTTAATGATATCCAAGATTCTACATATCAATTAAATGTAATATTAATAAAATAAATTTCAATTTATAAAGTTAACTATAATGCTGGAAAATTAAATAAACTCTTCTTTTGATTTACAGCAGCATTAAATCCCAGAAGAAGCCACTAGTTGGGCTATTTGATGAGATGGAGATCTGCGAGGAACAGGATGACGCTGTGCTTGGGGTTAGTACTGTTTGATATCTCCATGGGTCAAATTGCAAGATATAGGAAGTTTTCTTTTGGAATCAGTTTTATGGTCATCTGCATGCCCTCTAGATCTATTCCATGGAATAATCTCAGAGTGCTTTCAAGAGCAATCAATAAGAAGAACTAATAAGATACGGTGGAAGTTGGGGAATAAAAATGATGTAGATGCTTCTGGAAAGTATTCAATCAACCATCCACTTAATAAATAGGAAAAATGAAGTCCCCAATTGATTATGTGCTTGCAAAGGGTCACAGAGGTATTTGTGGAATTGTTGAAGCTCAATGCCAGATCTCATGTTTCCATCAAGTACTTATTGCTTTGAAAATTTGGTAAGCATGTAAAATATTTTAAGACATTAAATCATTGAAAGAGCACAAACAGATAATTCTTCATTAATATAAGGCATTTGGAAGGGCTTTTTGCAAACAATATATGTCAGTCATTCACCATGAGATCAACCTGTTCACGGCTGTTTTAGCCAAATACACCCCAGAATAGATGAATGGATAAAGAAATGTTGGGATGTACACACAATGAAATATTATTCAGACTTTAAAGAAGAATGAAATAATTGCATTAACAGGTAAATAGATGGAGTTAGAGAATATCATGCTAAGCAAAGTTAGCCAGTCCCCCCCAAAACAAAGGCCAAATGTTTTCTCTGATAAGTGTGTGCTGATCCATAATAGAAGGAGGCAAGTGAAGAATGGAGGAACTTTGGATTGAGCAGAGCAGAGGGAGAGGAGAGGAGGGAGTGTGGGGGGAAAGATGGTGGAATGAGACGAACATTTTACCCTCTGCACAGGTATGAATGTCAAAAATTATGTGAATCTACATAATGTTCAACCAGAAAAATGAAAAGTTGTGTTTCCTTTGTGTAAAATATAAAATTAAATTTTTTAGAAAGGAAAAACAACAGACAAAAAAGCAAAAAAAAATCTTTTTTTTTTTTTAAAGAGAGAGTGAGAGAGGGGAGAGAGAGAGAGAGAGAAAGAGAATTTTTTTAATATTTATTTTTTAGTTCTCGGCGGACACAACATCTTTGTTGGTATGTGGTGCTGAGGATCGAACCCGGGCTGCACGCATGCCAGGCCAGCACGCTACCGCTTGAGCCACATCCCCAGCCCGCAAAAAAAAATCTTATCATGAATTTTACAGCTAGCAAGAAGTATTGATTACAGGAACCTGGACTACTTCCTAGTGAGAACCTTTCAAAATGAAAAAAAAGTTCCAAATATGGGATCAGAATGCAGCAAAAAAATGACCTCCTCCTATAACACTCATATTATTTCCCAAACAACCTAGAATCTCTCATTTCATAGGCTCAATCTATGACATCATGATAGAGTGTCCTCACGTACCCTGCAGTGATTCTTCCTAAACATTAGTAATACCTTCTTTTCAATGAGCATCTGTTTAATAAACCAGGTGCTTTTTCCAGGGATAAAAATTCAGTCAATAATAGAATCAACAAGGAAGTAGAAGAATTGAACAAAACTACAAATCATAAACCAACTGAATGAATAGGCATCTGTATAAGATGTTACCCTATATCATAAAAACACTTTTTTTTTCTGTAGTGGAAATCAAATGTTCTCTAACATATACCATATATGCAGCCATAAAAGTAATCTCAACAAACAAAAATATTTAAATAATATAAAATATATTCTTCAATTGTAATGGGATAAAATAAGAAGCCAATAACAGAAGGGAATTTAAAACATTAAAAAATTTATGTAGATAAGTATGTCTTTAAATCAAGTAGTAAAAGAAAAAAATGAAAAGGGGAATTAGTAAATACATAGAGATTAATGCAAATGAGATACCACAAATGAAAACCTAAGGGATGTATCCAAAGCAGTGCTCAAAAGGAAATTTTGATTTTCAAACATATGTATTAAAAAGGAAAATTATAGATCAATTACCTGTTAACTTATTCCTAAGAACATATAAAATAAGAACAAATTAAAAGCAAGCAATGTAAAATAAACAAACTTACAAAGATTAGAGTCAAAAGAAATCAAATGGAATGGAGAAAAAATAAAGAAAAACAACAATTAAAAAAATCTTGAAACAGCAACAAAACTGACAAACTTAGTGAAACTGATGAAGAGAAAAGGAGGCAAGTATTCAAATTGCAAAAAAAAAAATCAGAAGTTACAGAGGAATTATTACCACTAACCTTAAAAGAGAGAAATGTTTATAAGGGAGTCTTATGAGTAACTGTGTAAATGAACAAGTTTCCAAAATACAAAATTTACCAAAATGAACATGAAAAGAATCACACAATTTCAATAGAATTACAATAAGTACAGAGAGGTTGAAGAGACAAAACCACTCACAAGATCTGCAGAGAACAGGAGTTTATTGGAAATAAGATACAAATAAAGGAAGAAAATAAAGTTACAAGATGATAAAACAGGTGTTTCCAGTACTTATCCCATCATGTAAACATCAATTTGAAAACCATCCACACAGGATAATGCCTTCACAAGATTTGAGAAATCTGGTTAAGAGACTACAATACCCAGGTTGATCACAGAAATAAGAAAAGTTGCATTGAAGAGAGTAGTAATGGTAGTTAAACTTTATCCTCAGATTCTTTTCATCAAATCTATACAGTTCATAATGGTCAATGTTACTCTTCATTTAGGGGAAGTGAAATGAGCACACAATTTGCTATATACCCAAGAACTAGGCCTACTTAAGTGAATCCTGGAACCATATCTTTTCCTGTCGACCTAGTCTCCAGGCCCCAGACCACAAATAACTACTGAAGTATTTTTTATTTTTTATTTATTTTTATTGGTTGTTCAAAACATTACAAAGTTCTTGACATATCATATTTCATACATTTGATTCAAGTGGATTATGAACTCCCATTTTTACCCTACTGAAGTATTTTTTAATCCCCTCAGCTGAATTTTCTTTTTCATAATATATATATATTTGTTCTTTTTGGGTATACATGATAATTTTTGACATATTATATACACATGGAATAGATTTTATCCTAATTAGGATCCCATTCTTGTGTTTGTACATAATGTGGATATTCACTGGTCATGTATTCATATATGAACATAGGAAACTTTTGTCTGTTAATTCTACTGTCTTTCCTAATCCCATCATACCTTCCCTTTATTCCCCTTTGTCTAATCCTATACACGTCTAGTCTTCCCTCTTTGCCTTGCTGTGTGTTAACATCCATATATAAGAGAGAACATTTGGCCTTTGGTTTCTTGGGACTGGCTTATTTCACCCAGCATTATAGTCTCCAGTTCCATCTGTTACTTGCAAATACCATAATTTCATTCTTCTTTATGGCTGAGTAATATTCCACTCCTTGGCATATGCCTAAAGAATTCAAAAGCAGCATACTGCAGTGACATAGCCAAATGAATGTTTATAGCAGCTCAAATCACAATAGCAAAGCTGTGGAACCAGCCTAGGTGTCCTTTGACAGATAAATGGATAAAGGAAATATGTTATGAATACAAAATGGAGTATTACTATTGAAATATTAAGAAAGAATAAGAAAGGTGAAGACATCACGCAATCTAATCTCAATATGTACTGTATAGCTATAGTAATCACACCAGTGTAATGATGGCATAAACATATACTCAGACCAATGAAAGATGATGGAAAAAATAGAATTAAATTAATATATTTACAGTTACTAAATCTTAAACAACAAAGCTACAAAGAACATACAATTGGGGGGAAAGCTCTTCATTAAACGGTTTTAGGGAATCTGGGTAACCACATGCAAAAACATGAGATAGGACCCCTTTTTTAATATATCAAGTTCAAATGTATTATGTAAGTAAATGCAAGGCCTAAGATTATAAGACCACTAGAAGAAAACTTAGAAAACAAGCTTGTTGTAATTGGTCTGAGAAGTTGTTTTTCAATATAATCATGAAATCAAGGCAACATAAAGAAAAACAGACAAATGAAACTGCATTAAAAAACTTACAAAAGAAAAAACATATCTGAATGAAAGTCATGAGAAAATATTTACAAACCATTCATCTGATAAGAGATTAATATCCAAAATATATAAGGAAATCTTATTAAACAATACCAAGAAAACAACCAAACTTAATATGAACGAAGGACCAGAAAGATATTTCTCAAAGAAAATATACCAAAATAAATATTTAAAAAATATTCCACCTCACTATCATCAGGAAAATTCAAGTTAAAGCCACAAATGCTTATTATCTCATACCTGTTAGAATGTCAATTATCACAAAGACAAGTTAAAATAAATGTTAGTGAGATTGTGGAGAAAAGGGAACCCTTGGATCCACCCTGTGTGAATATAAATTAGAAAAACTACTATGAAAACTATGTGTAAGTTCCTCAAAAATTAACAAGATATGCACCAGCAATCCCACTTCTGCTCATAAATCACAAGGAAATGAAATTGGTATGCCAAATATATTGATACCCTATTAAATTCATTGCAACATTAGTCACAATAGCCAAGATATAGAAACAATTGTATTTATCAAGATAAGAATAGATAAAGAAAATATGTGTGTATGCATATGTGTGCAATTGAATAACATCCTGCCTACAAAAGAAGGAAACCATGCCATTTGTGACAACATGGGTAAACTTCGAAAACATTATATATGTGAAGTAATATATGATCTTCCTTATAATAATGTGAACTCTAAAAAATAAAACTCATAAGATCAGAGAGTAGAATTGTGGTTGTGTCAGGAATGGCAGTGAAAATTAAATGGAAAGATGTGGATGAAAGGTACAAAGTTTTGGGGCTGGGGATGTGGCTCAAGCGGTAGCGCGCTCGCCTGGCATGCGTGCGGCCCAGGTTCGATCCTCAGCACCACATACAAACAAAGATGTTGTGTCC